TGCAGGAGATGGAAAATGATCGATTAGAGAATTATTTGTCATGAAAATTTTAGAGCGAGGGCCAAAAAACTGATGATGATGACCGTGAGGAATATTTTGCCATGCAAGTTTTTCTTTTAAGTCTGGAAGTAGTACACGATAAAGTAGCTGACGTCGCGCGACCAGCTGTTCAAGGAACCTCACATGAATTCCTTGCCTCTGTTGATATTTTGGGACACCACCAACTGCCTTAAAAATCATATTTTGGACTTGATTACAAGGGTAAATGAGGGAATTTCAAGGGCATAAAACCCTAGAAATTCCCCATTATAAATAGAAAATGATGCCCAACATTTGAAAATCCCTATTTTTATTTACCTTTTGAGCTTTGGAAGAGGCAAAAATATCCTTCTTCTCCACCTTCTTCCTTTTCCTCCTTTCTTGGTGTCCTCCATAGTCGAGCTTCATCGGAGTAACGGTTAGGTCCTCGAGAGAGACTAGCGCGCTGGAACAGTCTTGGAGATGGTCTGATGACACGACAAAGCTCTATTTTTTAGAGTTTCCTTCTCTTTGTTCTTTATTTCGTATCTTTTTAATAGGCTTGTACTTAATGATGATTTGGGATGATTTTAGCCACACCATGAACTGATCTATTTGGTGTTGGATTTGTTTGGATGATACTTTATTTTATGTTTAATGGATGATAAGTATATTTATGTTTATTGATGTTTTGTTCACTGTTTTAATCTTATGCCTTAACAATGTAAGAGCTTTTGAGAAATTGCCTATTGCCTTGGCATAATATTCCTAGTCTTTGTAAGAGTTGTTAAGAGATAGTTGTTTTTCTAGGAGTTGATACCTAATATCGAGAGAGTTAGGTTAGATCTATATGAAGAATGGAACTATCCGAGATGGTGAGGTTCTAATCTGCCTTAGAGATAAGGAAAGGGTTTCAAGTGACTAAAATGGATAGTCCATAATCGATAGGCTATTTACGCTGAGAGGTGTATTGCTGTGGCAATAGTCGTATCAGGGTCCTTACTAGAGATAGCTTAGGAACACTTTAGTAAATCCTGTCGGGCAGCATAGGCACAACTTACATAGTTCATCCTAGGCCATTAGAAGTATGATTGTGTGAGGTTGGTAGTCTATGTTCAGAACTTGAACATTTTTTGTCTTAGAAACTTTAATTTACTTATTCTTGCAATTAATTTTTGACTTAGCAATTTTTATTTGTTTACTCCTGCATATTTTTCTTGCCACAACAAAAATTATTTGCTCACTTCACTTCACACATTTCTTGCCTCAGCAAACTTTTTACATATGTTCATATCATCTGCCATATCACATTTCTCATTTGTTTATATCCTTAGATTTAGACGCTTAGGATTAGTTAGTGACGCATATTCCTAGCTATAGCAATCTTTAAATAATCCCCCAATCCCAATGGAGACGATACTCACTCACTACTGTATTACTTGCATCGATTGTGTATACTTGCATAGATTTGCGTGCCATAATACACACATTTACACGCGTTCACTTCAACTCAAAAGGTGCACGTTGATTTGAAGATTGTTTTACTTGAAGTTTGGAAGTCGGATCGGTTGGTTGTAATTTGGCTTCCTATGAATAAACTTAGCGGCAGTTCATTAATGGGAATTAAGATCTAGTTCGATTCTCGATGAGACTCTATAACTCGAGTTAGGTTTTTCCATAACTTAAAGCTATTTTGGATTTAATGGTGATAGACGTGGCTAGACCAACAAGGACTAGATTTCGGAGATAGACTTGAAATTTTTGATTAACTAGAGAGAAGAGTTAGGTGCAGGGGTTGGGCCCTGTTGAATGTAACCGACGTACATCAAGAAGGGAAAATTTTATTTTGATGATCGATTGAAATTAAGGTTAACCAAAACCCAAGGCTATATCATCTCTATTGAATTCTTCTACTTTATTTACTTGATTTATTTTCTCATTATTTTTTATTCAATATTTATTTATTTATTTTAAATGATTCAATCCGAGAAATGACATTATTAAACTTCCTTAACCCCTATGGATCGATTCTATTTCTCTATACTATTTATTTATTTATTTATTTTAGAATTAAAAATTATTTTATTTCAAAATTTCAACGCTGGTCAACCGTCGAAAACTTAAATCAAGAGGAACCATCCGACACAATAACATGGTACTAAAGGCTGAGAATATGTAAAAAAAATACATTCTCCCTTTCACAAGAGAAGAGACCTAGATTCAATTTGTCTTGCCTTTTTTAACTCTCTTTTCTTTTATATCATAGATCAAATTCCTTCTATTACCATTTGAGTATTTTTTTTATCTAAACTAGAAGAAGAAAAATATTATTGACATCCATGCATAAACATAATTTTTTTCATTATACGTTAATAAAAACCATCCCTATTAATTGATTCAAACGTTTATATGTAACTCACAATATAACTTTTCTTTTTATTCTAAAAAAAATATTATTTTTCTTTTGATGAATTAATATTTAATGGGTTCTTTGCAAGCTTAGGAGCCAATATCAAGGAAGAGGACATGGCTAGATATGAGGAACATCAATTTCTCCTTTGACAACAATTTTTCTCTAAGAATCAGAAAAGCTACTCTAGAACTTAAAACCTCTCTTCCTCCTCCCTTCATCTTTCTTATTATTCCTATACCCTTTCATAACTAAACTCTTCTATCCCACCATCGACTCCCACCCAAGCTCCCTTCAACAAAATTCATACATATAACCCTTCAACCTCAACCTCATTTACTCCTTCACCATCTCCGTCTTCTCCGTTGGTTCCATCACTTACATCGTTTTCTATGGCTTTCATGGTCAACCCGTCAAGCTTTCATCCACCATTAAAGCAGCTTTCACTTCCTTCTTCCCTCTCCTCTCAACTTCCTTTTGTTTTTGGAATCAGTTTAATTCTTGATTTAGTCTTGTTGGCATTACTCATAACAATCCAAGTTTTAGGCTTCCAAATTATTTACTCACCGTCTTATGTCGTTCTCCTAGCTTTTGCTTGTGTGGCCATTTTCATGTTTGATATGTTTTATTTACAAGATCGATTTCCTCTTGAATTAAGTCTCAACAGCGCTGGATGGTGTAGTAGATAAATTTCTGGCTAGATAAGGTGATCGGTGGTGACTGATGGTAATGGCCGGCTCTAAATTTATATAATTTAAAAATTATAATTCTACACAAATTAAATTACTTAAATTAATTATTATTTTCAATAAAAAATTTAATTTAATTATAATTATAATTATATTAAAAATAAAATTAATTTTAATAAATTTTTAATTTTTAATAAATTCTTATATTTTTTAATATATACATAATTTTAATAAATAATTATTTTTTAAGCACGTCGCTTTAGTGTTACATTGCGATGTGCTCTGCAAACGCATCCATTTTTTAATATATTTGTTTTTCTATATTTGTTAATTTTACAAAGCAATAAATAAAAAATTATTTTTAAAATTTCATCTTCCTTAATAAACGTAAGGATAAAAGAAGAAATATATTTATTTTTTCATTATTTGTTATCTCTTTAATTACTCATTTTTATTAGTTTTTCCCATTCGACTGTTAATATTAAAATGTTTGAAAATTGAAACTGTGTTTAAAACTCTTTTTCTATCTCATTTGAGAACTATAAAAAAATGTTTAATTACTTCGATACCCAACAACAAACTGTTTCCACATAAAAAGTTACATAGAGATTACATCTTCTCTCAACCTCTTAAAATCTTAATTTTTAAGAGCTAAACTCTAAATTTCTATTTATAAGACATTCTTTCACCAAACAAAAAAATTTTATTTATCAAAATTCATCATCTCTTAAATAATTTTAACAATCAAACATGTATGTAACCAATAGAATTATAACATAATTCCGACTAAATATCATCAGTTAGAATTTAAGTCCATCTCTAATCTATCTATTGAAGAAAAAGCAGTAAGCATTCATGAAGAAACATAGGTTTTAACAATGGCAATCATGATGGATAGCTACAATTATTTCTTAAATATGTAGAGGGAGACAGAAATTCACCAAACCAAATTGGAGACTTGGAGTATTACATCTAAAGGAAGTTTATACTTGAAAACTTCAAGGATTAGAAGCTAACTATGTACACTCAAAGTTATAATATATTCTCAAATCCTTAATTATATTATTGTATATTACAAAAACAGTAACTTATAGTTTATAATAGCACAGGCAACAGAGAAAACTTATATATTATATACATCACATAACTAACAATGCAATTGCAAACAAAACCAGGAACTAACATTACCTTTCAGATGTTGAAAAGATTCAGTTCACATTTTAAACATCATGTGAAATATTATAAGCAAATGTGATTGAATTCATGATCATATACATTACCATTTACCATGCATGTTTCCACTTTGAATTTTTACTTTTTTTAACTATTAAGAAAAATATCCATGGAAAACATAAACTGTGTATATAATTTATACAGACTCCTGAAAAGCTTAAAATTTGTTTCAATCATATATAAGTATATAATTTGCTTCCATTCATATGTAATTCCTACCACAAGCCAGTAGCCTCGAACCCTAAAGTGAAAACGTTTGAACTTTACTTTTCCACCAAACTCTACAAAGAAAATAAACTGGGAAATGCCTTAGATCAAAGTAGCCATACCTTGAAAATCTCTCGAAAGCTTCACCCAAGCGCTGCCTGGGACTAAACATGCAGCTATTTATATAAAGAAAATAAAATCATCCATCTTTCCCTTGCCCTTGCCCTTGCCCTTGCCCTAAACCCTTCAAATTCCCTCTTCTTCATGTCTTTTCAAGGTCTCCTTGAAATTTATTCATTGTATTTTCAAGGTTCGAGCTTTATTGATTTCATGAAAAGCTCCATTGGAATTCTCCATCTATAGCCCTTGAAAAACCTTGCATGCAAAAACCACAAGGCCGGGAATATAAGCTTTGCCCAAAGAAACTTGGAATATATAAACCCTCAAAAATCAAAGAAGATATTAGGATCCCCGTAATCCCAAATACTAGCTAGGGGATAGTCATCATCGTTTGTGAAAGGCCAAATAGATGGAGATTCAGGTCCAACTGGTAAACCTGGATCCGGAACTGCTGGTGCATTCGAAGCCTGAGCTGACAAAGACAAGCTCGAACTCACTGAACCCACCAGGGAATTGATATCCTCGTACGAATTAGAACCTTGCTGCTGCTGCTGCTGCTGCTGTACTTGTTGAAGGCTAGGGTTCATAAACGAGGCCGTTGTTCCAGTGGGTTCACCAACAACACTAGGCTCAAATTGTTGCATTATTTGCAAGGCTTGTTGGGGATTTGTAGCCATGTTTGGGTAAGCTAAGGCTAGGTTTGAAAAGTTTGGGCAAGCCCCATAGGGCATAAACCTTGATGATGATGAAGAAAACCCAGCAGCCATTAACGAAGCTGGATGACTTGCTGAGCTTAAAGACGAAAAAGGAAAACCTGAAGGACGAGGAAGCAATGGCCTTAAAGTTTGAGTAGAAGAGGACGAAGACGAAGATGAAGATGAAGAAGCAGACGAAGAGGAAGAAGGGAGGGAGGGTTGAAGATTAAGCTGAGCCTTGGAACCATAAAGAACAATAGCAGCACGATCATAGGCTCGAGCAGCATCTTCAGCCGTGGCGAAAGTTCCAAGCCATTTCCTGGTACGTTTTCGAGGTTCCCGGATCTCAGCAACCCATTTACCCCAACTCCTTTGCCTCACGCCTCTATATCTGAACTTATTATTATCGGGGCCACCTTTGCCTTTGCTTTTCCTACTGCTGCTGCTCCCCGTAGTATTGGTGGTGGTGCTGATGATACCGCTTTCGGATTCAGGAACGGTGGTTATGGTTTTAGCGGTGGTTTCTTGGGGAAGGTGAGACAAACAAGACTGGTCATTACCCTCCTGCTCCATTGCTTTAAAAGAGGGTTTTCAATTGGTGAAAAACAACAAAACCACCTCGCTCTTTGGTTCTTGATTTGTCGAGCAGCTTGAAAAGAAGGCGTCCCTGGTAATGGTGGATGAGGGCGGTGGCTCTTTGTATTCTCAGAGATTGCTCAACAGTGAAGAAAGCTGCAGGCTCACTTTGGTTTTGGAATTCGGGATCATTCAATTTTTTATTATTATTCCTTTTTCTTTTTGGGTTGTTATGTCTATTTCAGGGAAATCCCTAGGAGAAATTATTGATGGAAATTGGCATGCCTTTTTGTCTAGGACAAGACTTCAAATTTCTATATCTTCCCTTTATTAGTAATTTTAGGTTTGATTAATGATATATCCTATCTTGTCACTTCTTGACAATTTTCCTCTTCTAAACATATTTATTAACCTTTTCAGTTTTTGTGATTATGGATATTTTAGAAAATAAGGGAATGAGTTCATTTAAATAAATTTTGAGTTTAATTTTACTTCTTATTCAATTAATTCATATAATCTCCTTTAAAATAAATCCATACTTCAAATTATCTTTTTAATAAATTTTAAATATATATTTAGTATTTGAATTAAATAATTTTTAAAATTAGTATTCAAACTTTAATTTATCTTTATTTTAGTACTTTTATTTATGAAAATAATTTTAATGATACGACAATATAAATTTTATCACATGTCAATGGATTATATTTTACTATTAATTTAATTGAATTTTTTAAATATAGTAATACAAATTTATTTCAGTTAAATTAAAAGTAAATCAAATTAAAATGAAATAAACAAGATAAATAAATGTCAAATTAAAACAAATAAATTTAAGATACATATATTTTAAAAATTATTTTAAAATAAAACAAGAGAACAGAAAATATTCATTCTAAACTGATGAAAAATGTATTGAAGTGTTGGGGGATTTGATTCTCACTTTCATCATTCAATGTTATATTTTCTAAATCCATCATTAACAAGGAAAGGTACAGTTTTAAAAATTAATTTAGAATATAATCATAATTTAAAAATATGTTGTACAATTATCTCTCCATAAAAATCCAGACCTCTTTTCTATTGGTGAAACCAAGTTGTAAGAATAAACCGACCCACATTTTTTTAGTGATGAAACAAGATTAAATTGTATGGGACCGGTTATATTATGATGTTATTCAAAACGTTAATTAGAGAGTCAGCAATTTTATTTGAGAAAAAAAAGGGTTACAATATACCCAAATAATTGAATTTTGACAAGGAAATTTGACACATAATTTTTACAAATATATATAATAATAAGAAAATAGTGATTTAAAAACCTTATTCATGATGTATTATTTAACATAAGAATGGGTACACATTAATATATGATGTAATTTCTCAGCAAGAACCTTACTTGGTCAATGAGGTTTGATACTGGAAACTCGGTCTTATTTGCTTATCGACAAAGTAATGTTTCAGCTTTACATATTTAACAATATGAAACGCATTAAACTGGCTTATATACATTTTTTTTATAGAAGATTTATTTAAAAAAACCTATAAAATCACAATAAAAGGTTTAAAATTATAATAATAAATTAAATATATAATAAGCGCATTTTCATATAACAATTTGTTAGAAACAAATCATAATAAATATGAAAAACAACCAAGATCTAATTATATCAAATCATCAAGAATAAAATAAATACTAGATTGATGAAAGTGTATCTAAATCGATTGTTAGAGATTATCAAGAAGCTTGAGATCTTTGAATCTTTCTTTGGTTGAGATCTTCCAAGAAGATAGAGTTAGTTTTAAATATAAACTCTCTAACGGGATAAGATAAAATACAAAATTGTCGAGGATCATAACCCTTTATATAACTAATTTAAGAATCAATTATTGTTTGTACTTGTAGATTTGGCCCTAATTGAATTATAAATACAACTTTAATAGTATCTACGCTTTTATTTCCATGACACTTCTAATACCTTATGAATTTATAAAATAATTGGTCACTTAATTTATGTCATATTTTATGATAACAGTATACATTATAAATATGTGCCCATAATTATAGATTTTAATCCAACAATCTCCCACTTGGGCAACATATGTTTCTTGATAAATGTATAACCTTATGAGTTCAAAATTTGTTATCGTACAATAGGTATTCTATAACAATCTCGTCCATCAACTATATTCAAATAAGATCAAAGTGGTCTTCGTCATAACAATCATGACTAGACCCGTCAATGGTCACTTATACAGCCACAATCAAATGACATAGATCAATCATGGAATGTAGTATGGAAATTACATGCAATGTGAACTGCACATGTCTATTTCCAACGGATCCTCTTTAAACTTTAGTGAGTTCAAATTTTACCAAAAACTATGGATAAACCAAAATAAACTTTTATTTTTGTAGAAAATAACTTTAACATAATATCCTTAAATTGAAGTAACTGAAATTATGTGTATAAAAAATGAGCATTAAAATTACAAACTCCCATCAAAACCAAATATCCTTAAATGATATTACACCCACATGAGTAGTGTGCTCATGAAAGACCTTGGGTTACAGTTCTTTAGTAAGCGCACAGTTATGAGTTTGTACCAACATACTCTATAAGCACATAATTAGTTTGAATTTTTTTAACAAATAGAAACATAATGTCTATGTGCTTAGACTTAAGGTGTTTCTGTTATAAATGTAATAAAGGACTACAACATAGTTGTCAGAAAATAACTCCAGTGGTCTTTCTTATTAATCCGTAATTAACAATTCATGTGACAAAATTTTACATATGTATTCCAATAAATTGGAGTCCATAAATCTGATCATCTCTTACTTACTAGATCTCTAATACGTAAGCATGTAACATTTTTTTCTTAAATGTACTGTATGGATCAATTTGACTGCTATCCATCGATTCATACCCAAATTGCTTAAATATCTACTTAATATCTTAAAATCATATGCTATGTCTGAATGCATAAGGAACCTTGTACATTTCCTTAGTTTCAAAATCATCATTAGGGAATAGATCAAGACTAAACTTGTTTCCTTTAGCAATAAGTGGTATCATTTGGTTTACTCCCACTAAACTTATAGTATATATAAACTAAATTCATCTGAAAACCAAACGAGATAATCACTTGATGAAATTTGTTATACAATTAATGAAAATCATACTTAAACTCATAAGTAAATTTCCCTAATTTGCATATCATTAATTTTGTTTCACGAGACACAATTTTCTAATTGCATCTTATAAAATATTTCATCAATGTTACCATTTTGAAATTCAACTTATGCAACTCAAGATTAAATATGAGAAACAAGTATCATGATTATCCTATAAGAGAAAGTCTTTACAAATATGATGTCTTCTTTATGAGTATATCATTTATATAAAAGTTATGTCTTATACTTGTCAACACCACCATTTACATACATTTTGATTATAAATATCCATTTATAACCAATCATTTTTGCACATTAAAGTAATTTTACACATTCAAATAATGAGTTAAGTCCTCAAACTTTATTATCTTATATAGAACTATGAGGTGGTGGTCTTTGTTTTGATCTTATTCATATCTCATATGGAGACTTGTAAAATAAGCTGCTAGAAGCACAAGAATGACCCCTTAGTATGTGAAGCCTTGGCCACTTCCATATCCAGAGTGGTATAATGTCAATGCAATTGTGAATATCATGCATGAGCTAAAGGATATTATATCAAGAACTTCATTGCCTTTAAGCATTGAATTTAGTGCTTGATAGAACATAGAGTATTGGAGCTTGAGCTAGGAGATCAACTTGGTTCGATTTCAGAAAGTCTGGTTGAAGTGCAGCCGAGAGTGTTCAAGGATAAAAGCATTAATAGGGGCACCCAAGGTGAGGAGCGTTTGCTAAAGTACGAAGCCTAAATACGTTAGTTGCAAAATGAAAAGGATAATCTGAATAGAGAAGTGAAAGCCCCGCAAAATGGCTTTCAAAAAATTAGTCAAGCCTTTCAAAATGCTAGTTTAGGCGATACTCTAGAGGAATGGGCAAAATAATGATGTTGAACAATGGAAACAAAATTGCTAAGTGCATAAAGGTCTAGCTAGAAAGTCCTCCCACGATTTACAAATTGTAAAAAGTAAACGAAACACAACCTTAAATGATTTGACAATTTTGAACAATGAATGAGATATTGATCACATTCATTGCCGACTCAGAAGCTTCATTTCAAAAACATAAACGCAAGAAAGATACTGAACTAGAGGCTAGTAGGGCCAAATATAAGACATTGACATAGTTGGTACATGATTATAGAAATATTGCACAAGAACTTCATAATTACATCAAATCTCTTACAAGGAAAAATGATTAATATGATCAATAGCTCATAAGTTGGTCGACTTAGCTAGTTTTACAAGTGATTTGAAGCAGATTGACAGCTTAGCACCATATCATGCTTGGAAGTTAACTTGGTTCATGAAAGAGATAGAGAAGCCAGGAGTTAAAACTATTCATTATTTATAAAGTTTAGTTATTTGATGCACTGAAACATTTATGTTCAATGAAAATTGTTTAAGATTATCACTCTGAAGTGACACCTTTTGTATACATACATTGCATTCATGAAAATAATTCATTATGGGTTATGTGACAGTAACACCAAGTTCGTCCAATCATGGATAAAAGGTTGACATCAATAGAGCATTCCCAAGGCGATTTACGGGATCAGTTGCAAGATCAGTTGATCGTATTGTAACAGAATGTCTGAAATCAATCATTAAGTTCTGAACAAGAAGTATTGAATCAAATGAACCAATTGTTGGCTACAAGGTTTATTGACATATAAAAACACATGTTGAGGGACATTAGTATTATCAGATGAGTATTACAAGGTTAACAACCTACCCTGGGGCCTTATTTGAATGAAGGAAAGGGTCTCACTAATCATGTATAATTCAGAAAAATAATTAAGTGATTAGAGGAAATGGTCAAA